CAAGTAATCACCAACTTTTTGCTGAAAGCTGGATGACAGAAAATATAGAAATAGTGGAACGCTACAAACTTCTACCTTCAACAAATTATGGAAATGGTTTAAAATCTGGGAATTAAAGACCAAAGATAGACAATGGGATTCAAAGCTAACCTTTCAAAACGATCATACGTCTCAGTGTTAGTCTGGTATGAGCCATGGTACTCAAAGAGTGTGATATTATCGGCATCAGCTGAGAACGTTAACAAGCGGAATCACTTAAGTTATTAACATGTTCAATATTCACAAAATTTATGTCATATAGAAACCTTGATGGAAATGCTGTCCAAGATCTTCTTGTTCTGGATTATTGTTGACATTTGGTTCATCTAACCGCTGCAAAGAGATAAAGCCACGCAATGAATTAGTTCAACTAAAGATGCACATGAATATTCATTGGTTTACAAACACTATGAAGAATTCACATTAACAGTTGCATTTTGAATGCCTTGTCCTCTTCCACAACCCATAGGTTACACAGTAAATCTTGAGCAATGTTCAAATGACTTTTTGGTTTAATACTCATATGTTTCAAGTTCCACAAAGAATTTTTCATAGGCAGACTGGAATGAAGCACCTAAAAAATCGCATGCTTGAGTTAGACCAAGTCTTCAGATGCACTTTCTGCGCCAACTTATTTCCTCCACATTATCCATCTATGGACAATGAAAAATGACTCCTAGGAATTCTTTTTATATCCTTTCAACTTATTAAACTGAAAAATTCACCAACTATTTCTTCGTAAAAGGAAAACAAACACCCAATCTAATATCTGAGACACAGTGAATCGACTTAGTTACCATGGAAATATAAGTCTGCTGAAATTCCATGAAATTGGGAAATTTTGGAATGTTACGAGTTTGTTCAATATCTCCAAAATCAGCTTCTTCGTTCTCAGGCAACGTAACAGCCTCTTTCCTGCGAACAAAAAACCCAACAACGCCAATCATTTCTACAATTCATAAGTTTTGGATTGTTACTTCAGAATCCTTCAATCGCAAACAAAAACCAAATACGCCAATCATTTCTACTGTTCTTCTTCATGACACTGTTCTTATGATTTGGGTTTTTCTTCAAACCCCTTCAATGGCATTACGATAGGAGAAGAAAAAGGAAGAAGAAGGTGAAATAGTAATATACCTGGCATGGGTTTTTCCTTTAGGTAGTAAAGTAGGATCCTGAACAGGCTTTGTTCGCCAAGCTCCATTAATCTCAACCTGAGAAAGATAAACACACATGAGAACCCAGAAAACGAAGTACGGAAAAACCAAAAAAAGAGGATCGGAAAAAGTTTGATTACCCGAAGGCGAGTTACGTCATCTGAAAATTTAAAGGAAAAACCCAGAAAAGAATCAATGTCTCATCAGTTTGGGAAAAGATGAGAGTGGAAATAGAAATCCCGAATTCAAATTTTAATCTCAAAAATTGATTGAATCCGAAAAATACCTAATAGGAGCTTCACTTTCCTCTCATAAACAATCACAACCCCACCTAACGAAAGAAACAACACAGTGAGAGAATCATCAAAACCCAGAAATGAGAAGAACTGAGAAAATAAATTCCGATGTACCCATAAGAATCCCGGAGAGTCTGAGAGCCATTGGAACCGACGGATTCAAAATCTCTTCGCTGTGACAAGAGTAAGATTATTATCTTGAAAATCAACGTTCGTGTTTCATGAAATGTCATCCAAAAAAATCAAAACAGTATAAACAAAAAGGACGAATGGATCTTCTCTCACCAGATTTGAATGATATCGAGTTGGTCCAGTTTCTTCCGATTGATCTTCGCATGTAATGTAGCAGCCATCCTTGAAGATAACGTACACCATAAATCAAATAAGAAAAAGCCAAAAAAAAACAGAGGTTGGAGATTACACTCTTGTACTTCACTAAATCACAGAGAGATCAAACATAGCGATGATTTAGAAGTAACAAACGCTTGATCGGGACGAAGAACTTCCCATGGCGAATTCAAAAAAAAAACAGACGAAATAACTCCATACAGAAACAAAGCTTGCAAAAATCATGAAACATCGAAAAAACGTTTATACTCACCATATCTGACCCAACGGAGCTTTTCGAGCTAGAAGCTGATGAGAGTAAAACATGCTTCAAAACTTAAGAAAAAAACTCCAACCCAGAAAGAGAGGGAAAACAAAAAAGCGAGAATCAACTCGTTGCGTCTATGAAGTCTGAAGAAAAAGCTGAATCTGAGTATTTACGTTTTTTTAGTGTCTAAAACTGTCTGTGTATATTTATAAATCCGCCATGAGAGCATAAAAAGGGAAGCTCTCAGAGTGATCGGGTGTAGAAGGAGCATGTCAGGAGAGCAGTGATAAAGATACATCACGGTGACGAAAGTATCACCACTTATCCTCTCATATTTTGACACGTACGCGTCTTATAAATAACCAAACGTGACGCTAGAATAAACAATCGAATTCCGTTACCATAGCTGGACCCCACACTGTCACTATCAAGCTCCCTCCAGTCTACTGCTTGCCATTTTATACAGTAAAACGACACGTAGTTGATTTGTAAAAACTTTAAACGCCTTGTGTTTAAACACTGCCCTTCGTCTCTCTCCATTGACATTGAGCTTTTGCATCGGCGAGCTCAGATCATCAACAAACACAGAAGATATCATCCATGGCAACGATGAATCAAAATGCCGCCATTAAATTCTTCCTCATACTTTCCTTTCTAATTACTTCCACTTTTTCTATTCCTTCTTCGCCGGACCGATTCATCAAATCGGCTTTGACTTCTCTCCGGTCACCGGAAAAGCCTCAGGAGTACGAAGAACTCACACGGCCTCTACCGTCTGATCACCTCACACCTTCGTGCTCTCATGTCCTCCTCCGCCACTCATTCGCCAACACCATCAACAGACCTCCGTTTACAACTCCATATACTCCACCTTCCGATTGTACATCGCCGCCATGGTCTTATGTCGTGCTTGACCTACGCGCCGCTTCGAGTGGCGATCAGTACGATCGTATTTCCGGTTTGTGGCTCGGCGGAGTGGAGCTACTCCGCACCAGTACGGCGGAGCCGAGTCCAACCGGAATCTTCTGGAATGTTCGGAAGGACGTCTCGAGGTACTCCTCGCTTTTCATGAGATCCGATCTAAATGTCACAATGATGCTCGAGAATATCGTCAACGATGTTTACACAGGGATTTATCATATCAATGTCACTCTCTACTTTTACGAATTCAATCCTATTGCTTCAAACCCGAAGATCAATGGTAGATTAGAGTTTGCAGAATCCCAACGAAGTGACCAATCCCCTGCGGATTTGATAATCCCGTTATGTGACAAAGGAAAAAGAGGGTTCTGGTTCATGATCGAGGATCCAGAAGAAATTCACTCAAAAAGAATCCGAATTCCGTCCAACACTCGTCGGATTGTGCTGGAACTATATGTATCGTTCCATGGAAATGACGAATTCTGGTATTCAAACCCGCCAGATTCGTACATCCACACGAACAATCTAGCAACGGGGCGTGGCAATGGTGCATTCCGGGAGGTTTTTGTGAAGATAGACGGGAAATACGTGGGATCAGAGGTGCCAATCCCGGTTATCTTTACCGGTGGAATCAATCCCTTGATCTGGGAACCAGTTGTTGCAATCGGTGCATTCAATCTACCTTCATACGACATGGACTTGACACCGTTTCTCGGGAGGCTGTTAGATGGAAAGTCTCATGAGTTTTCACTTGGTGTCAACAATGGGATATCGTACTGGCTTGTGGACGCCAATTTGCACCTCTGGCTGGATCACGGGTCTTCGAATGTTGTAGCTCGGTCTGGGCATTACGAGAGCCCCAGTCATCACATGGTGAGACGAGAAGAGCTTGAACAGCTTGATGGTTCATTTGGGGTTGAAGCAGAGGTGCGTAGTGAATTTGATGGATGGGTTAAATCAAGTGAAGGTAATCTGACCACCTCGGTCAAGAGCATGTTCAACGTTAGTAATTTGGTGAGCTTTGAGAAAGACGGAGCATACAAGAGAGTTGAGCAGAGAGTGGAGACCAAACGGATCGTGGAGGTGACTTCTGAATCGGGCAAGCCAGTGAAACGGATTGTTCACCAGCGGTCATATCCACTCACGGTGATCACTTCTACCCTTAGAGGGTTCACCAATGACAAGGACATGTATCTGCTCATGACGAATGTTTCACACGCGTTGAACGAGAAATATTCTGCTGGAGAAGCTTTCACAGAGATTTACAACAGACAGGACTCAGATGGTTGGATGGAGGTTGAAGATCACAATGTCTTGGCCGGTGAAGCGAGCACAAGGCAGAGTTACAGCTATGTCGATGAGTTCAGCTGTTATTCCCGCACCATCGTTGCAGGCAATGGCGAGATCACCCACGACAGTTCATCTGATACTTGCACTTTGTCTTCATCCTCATAATTCAACGCATTGCGCAGCTGATCATAACCAATGTGAAACCAAGATGAAATACTTGTCTTTTATAAGAGATGCTTGTACTACTAGTAACCATGTTCAGTGACAACCAAGAGAAATGTTTTTGCGCAAAGGGAAACAAAACTGTAGGATCTAAAGCTGAAACAATGGTTATGATGCTTCTGCTTTTGTTCATTCAGTTATTCCGCAACCTCCGTCGATATCGACTTCTCCCATTCCAGTG